CCCCTATGCATAAAATGGCCGTTACAAGAGTCTATCAGTCTATCCCAGAGCACTTGGGTACTCAGGATTTGCATTAGTGTTCAAGCACTCAACATTGGGTAGCAGATAGTTGGAGTACTTTGGAGCTGTCTTGCAATTTAATATACCTTTGTAGTATATAAATTGGTATAATTTAGGTCTCGTTTAGAAACAAATTATTTTAATAATTTTTTGATATTTTACGAAAAGATATGCAAAAAAATAAAAAAAGTGATGTGACAATTTATAGTGACTTTTTAAATTTTTGATTAAAATGTACAATTGACAAACGAAGAAGGGATTCTTCCATCCATACGCTTGGTTCTTCAATTTTTTGGCCCAATAAAGGGATCAAACTAATTTGTTAAATGTTGAATGTGCTCTGTTGAAAAATGACTTTAGATATTAATTTTTTATTTTAGAAATTCAATAATACTGAATTCACAATCAATGTTTTTCATATTTGTCATTTAATCTATACAAATAAGGACTACAAACACCCATTTAACATGGATATAATCACTACTGATTTTCTAGTACAAAATTTCACTCATTACCAAACTGTTCAAAACTTTTAAAATGATTTTTTTTCCCCCTTTCATCAAACCGCCCCTTAATTATTAAAACAAAAAATTTTTTTAATGTAAAATTGCAAACGGGATACTCTAAAAGGATTTGCTAACACTAAAACTTGACCGTGAACATATAGAGAAAAAGTGTAGACAAATCAGCCCAGTGTAGAAATAATGCCAAAGGCGACCATAGACGCACAGCATGGTTCTGATTGGTGACTGGTGATCCGCTTCCAAACTGCTGTTCACACACGTTAGCATCGTCCCTAACATCGGACGCACCTTGTTTTGCTCCTCCAAAGTTGTTGGAATCTAATGCACTGATTGCTCCTGGTAGTTCCCGTGTCACAGCTTCCTTGTATTCTTCAATACATGTTCCTAAGAATTCAAGCAACAAACGGTCACTGGTTTGATTAAACAGTTTTCCTACAATCTGTAATGTTTGATTAGCCTTAGCCAGCACTTGTTGAAGACTGTGATGCGAGCGAGCCCTTTCACATCTGCATTCGAACTCCAAGGATCTGATACTAGAGATGCGACACAGAGGTTGAAGTTATTGGTGCGCCTGCACGTCTGGCGAATCAAATTACTGTCTTTTTGTGAAGTTGAAGCAGAGGATTGGGTTGATGATGCTAGAAGGATGGCATGAAGGGAAAAAAAAAAGACAGAACAACCTTTGACACATCATTTTCTGTAGAGAAAATGCTACTTAAGTTGATGATATTACCTTGTCTATTTTCTTAATATTAATAATAGATACAAAATGTGAGACTTTGGCCCATTGGGACATGTTATTTTAGTAATTTTTAAATTTTTTTTAATTAAAATATGAGATAAAAAAATTAGTATGTTTAAAATGATTTTTTGATTTTTTACAAAAATATATACAAAAAGTAAAGAGAAAAATGAATTTTTGACTTTTTAATATAAGTTATAAGTTTTTAAAATTTTTTTAATAATTTTTTGATTTTTAAACTAAAATTGTTCCATGTCAAACGATGCTTTTGTATCTTCATAAATGATGGGGTGGATTTGAATGGCCGAAGCATAATTTTTTTATTTTGGGATAAATTACAAACACACATCCTGAGATTTACTTAAATTACAAATTACTCCTGTAATTCTAAAAATTACATTATGTCCCATAAAGTTTCTAATTTCATAACAAATAGATCATTCTATTAATAAATCATCAGATTAATTAATAGTTTTTAATAATATTAAAATTTTATTTCAATTAATAATTCAGATAATTTTATTATTGTATAGGTGAACAGTTAGAAATTTCACTTTTTAAATCAATTTTATTAAATAAAAAATTCTAACAGGGAGATATTTGTAGTTTTTCAAATTACAGAAGACAATTTATATTTTAAGCAAATCGAAGAGGTGTATTTATAATTTATCTTTTTTTTTTCCTTTTTTTCTTGATTTGTAAATGGATTTGAATGATTTGTGAATGTAACCATAATAAATAGCTTTCAATGATTTGTGAATGCACATAAATGACTTTGATTGATTTACGGATAATGCTACGCATCATGAAATAAATATCATGAAAAGTTTCATGAAACTAATCCAGGGTGATTGTATAACATACTGTGTGAGTGATTTTCCGATCACACTGCCAACTCAGTATTCAGCTAGAGAGTACTGGCAGAATAGATGGCACCTGTTTGACTTGCAACAAAAAGAGAAGATTCCGGCAGTAGTTCGTCCACCCGGGGGCACTCCGACGATCAAGTCAGTATATCTCTTAAAGATAATCAATAGTGCTAAACTCACTGTTCTGAATATAAATTGCGTACCTTAGATCCATCGGGGGTGCCTTTCTTTTATAGTTACCTCAATCCTAGTCCCCATAGAAGCCTAGCTTCAATGGACTTCTGCTTAGTGCTTATACTGGATTCTCCAAGAGATAAAGATAAACTCCCTAAGAGTATTATCCTTATCCACGCTAAAGTCCTTCCTCATTCTAGGACTCTTGTGCCTTATCCGTTTATCTCGGATTCCGATATCTTCGGAGATAACCTCGACCTTGCCGAGATAACCTCGGTGTCATGACCAGGACACGTGGCACCTCGGTTGACACGTCGGCGTCACCTTGGCCACGTGTTGGTACTCAGAAAATATACCCCACAACTGCCCCCCTAGGTTCTATTACCGTCGGCATTCTGAGGTGAATACCAGAACTTCCGGTCAATATATCGGTTTAAAGTCTCTCAGCCGAGGTCATCATATAGGCCGACATGTCTCTTTAAAGATTAAAGATTCCAAGATGTCCTTCACGCGTATGAGCTGTCATGCAAAATAACCCCACCGTTTCAGCCACGCTTCTTTTCCTTACTGGATCGTACTCCGGACGCGTTTGCAAGTCGTCTTGCGCCTACATGCACCGTCTGACGTACTTGTTGTTCCAGGTGCATTAATTGCCCTTTTTGCCGCCGTTTTAAGTTTTGACAAAACTTGTTTCTTTTTCCCCCGTCTTTTCACTTTACTTTGTTTCAGAAGCTCTCTCTCTCTCTCTAGCCTTTTCAAATCTTCCATTGTTCCAAGCTTTCAAGCTCTGCTACCACCGTTGTTCACCTCCTCCGGTAAGACTCTTGCTACTCTTCCCCGCTGCTATCGTTCGTCTGACTTCGACGATCTCAACATCGGCTTCTTTTCTCTGGTAAGTCACCATTCCTCCTGGTTTTAGTTCTTGTTGTGCTCCAAGAAATTTTGCTTCATCATTAGTCGTCATTACTGTTTTACTCAAATATTTGATTCATGAATAATGCATCTGAGCGTATTTATTTCACAATTTTGTTTTTTGCTCATGTCTTGAATACTCGCACCGTTCACAACTTTTCTGCACTTTTGCCACTGTTCTTGACCTGTTACACCTGTCTTGTGTTTCTTGATGATCCTTCACTGTTCTTGACTCTGAATCGCATTCTTGCTTTTCTGTTTTCCAGATTCGTGCCTTCAATCTTCATTTCCACAAATCTAGGTTTGAGATTTGTTTGTAGAACCCACGATTTTTTTAGGAAAAACTGAAACTATTTCCATAAATTCTTACCCAGCAAATTTTTAGGTTTTTGCCGAGGTCCCAATAACCCTTTTAAAACACCTTCATTCTGAAACCCAGTTCCTCCTAGTTAGGCCGATATCATGGGTATGTGGAAACATAAGGTAGACACCCCGACCAAGTTAGATCACTTTAGGCGTGAGTTTGACATCCCTGCCAACGTCCATCTGAGGTTGGTTGGGAAGGAAGACTCTATCATGCCCACAGCTGATTCCATGCCCTTTTCCTGTTGTAGCTTTCATCGAGTGCGGACTTCGGCTCCCACTCAATATCCTTTTTCATGAGATCATCCATTATTATAAGTTGAACCCAATGCAGTTTTCCATCAACTCCTACCAAGTCATTAATGGCATCATAGCCTTAGCCATACAAGAAAACGTTAGGGTTACCTTAGCCGATATCCAGTATTGCTACACCATGTGTGGCCTCAAAAAAGACACGGGCTACATTTACTACCTCAAGCCGAGATCCACAGAATACAAAATCATAGCCGACCTCCCAGACTCCAACAAGGGAGCTGGAGATGATTACTTCATTACCTCGGGGAACTGGGAGTTTGCTCTAGATGAGGACCTCCATCTTTACCCTCTTCCTCGAACAGTTTTTGTAGAGGGCAATGGTAAGAGCCCTGTGTCCATATTAACTTGTTTGTTTTACAGTCTTTAATACTTTATTTGTTTCTAATGTCTGCTTTTCTTCCAGCTCTTCCTCAGCCACCAAAACACTTCCGTCAATCTTTCTTTCCTAGCAAAGGCTTGAGGAAACTGTTAGATTTGCCAGTCCTTAAACGGAAGGCCCCTTTTCTACTCAATTTCATTCCTACCTACAAGTCAAGGGCAATGGTAAGAGCCCTGTGTCCATATTAACTTGTTTGTTTTAAAGTCTTCAATACTTTATTTGTTTCTAATGTCTGCTTTTCTTCCAGCTCTTCCTCAGCCACCAAAACACTTCCGTCAATCTTTTTTCCTAGCAAAGGCTTGAGGAAACTGTTAGATTTGCCAGTCCTTAAACGGAAGGCCCCTTTTCTACTCAATTTCATTCCTACCTACAAGTCAACTCTTCTCGACGTCCCCAAGAAGAAGAAGAAAAGCCTTTCTCCGCCTTCCGCTACAACTCCACAAGTTACCTCCACATCTCGGCCAGATCAAGGATCAGCTTCCGACGCAGCAGGTTAGCCGTCAACCTCGGCTCCATATCTGATCCTGCCACCTCAACACCAACGTCGGCGACGAACGGTTTTTGGTGTTGAAATGGGCCGTCAAAAAGCAGTTGCTAAGGACTTTTTGGCCAACATTCCTGATTTTGTTGATGCTCAATCAGCGCCAACCTAGCCAAAGCTGATGACAAAAAAGATCAAGAAAGCTCAGCCAAAGGCAAAGGTGACTCAAATTGACACCGATGATACTTTGTCGATCTTGAAATTAGCTTCGAGCGAGAGAACTACATCTGCTGCCGAGAAGAGGCCAGCCGAGGCCCAACCATCTGAATCCCCAAAATCAAAAAGGTCGAGGTCATCTGCTGTAACCACATCGGGGTCTCGAAAGCAGGATTCCCCCTGGGCTCCCCAAATCACATTGGAGGATAAGCCAGTTAGGGCTAGCGACAGAGCTGATGATATCAATGTCGGCGTTGCCCTTAGTACTGCTCTGCTTCTTCCCGGCGATCTCGATCGAAACGCCGAGTTGAGTGAGTATGAGAACTACGCTCTGATGCTTCAGCGCTCTGTCCAAGTGAATGTCTTTATTTGGTCATTTTTCTTTCTTTCTTGTACTTAGAAAATTTTCTAATAACTTTTGTCTTGTTCACTTTCAGGCCATCCAGCATACTCATTCCTTCTCAATACAATTCTTTGAGAACCGGAAAGAACTGGCCGATAAGAAGAGAGAAGTTGTCAGTCTGCAAAAGGCCAATAAAAGCTTGCAATCCAAGATGAAGACCTTGGAGGATCAAGCCGAGGCTGCTATCAAGGCCCAAAATATCGCCGAAGAAAAGGCAGAATCTGCCGAGGCCATTAAGAAGGTTCTTGAGGCCGAAAAGAGAGAGGCCGAAGAGAAGATGACCCAGGACCAGAAGGAACTTCAAGAAGCCCTGGCCACAAAAGCGGCCGAAGTCAAGGCCGCCGATGAGAAGGGCTATAACGAAGGGGTGGCCGATGTCACGACAGACTATGAAAAGCAAGTGAAGCAGGCATGCAACAAGGGTTTCACCCTAGGTTGGATGTTTCTTCTAAAAAAGCTTGAAGTCCCCGAGGACTCGTCCCTCAGGAACGCCGACGTCATTCCTCTTCCATTCCCTCTGTCCCCAACTCAATCCGGCGACGAATCTGAGTCTGAGGAGGAGACCTTGGTGAGGAAATCAAAGGAGGCTGCTGGGACCAAGTCTCCTTCTCTGAATGAGCAAGTCCTGGACTTGACTCAAGATGAGGAGGGTGATGAGGTTCCCCAGGAAGCTACCCTTGAGCAGGCATCATTGGACGTGCCTCTCGCTGACAAGAGCCTTGATCAAACCCTTCAAGAAATTGATGTTGAGCTTGCGGTCGAGAAGGTGGCCGAGATGTCCTCCCAGCAGTCTTCCGAGATCCAGACCCAGCCTGCTAATGATGCTGAAGAATCTTAATTTTGGCATCTTTTTCCTTTGTTTTTTTTTTCCTTTTGTACTTCTTTGTTTTTGGGACAATGTAAACTCTGCATATGGCCGATATGCCTTCTTATGAATACAACTTCCTTCTTTCTTGGATGCTTGCATGTTTGTCTTTCTTTTATTGCTCTTGTATGATTCCATGCTTAGAATATTTTGCATATCTTTAATATATACTTCAATCTTGTGCAACCTTCTCGGGTTGACACACCTCGGTTATACAAACTGACAATTTATTTCGGGAAGTACCCAAGTACCTTTCTTGGCGCGACCTTGGTTTCAACTTGTAAATTTTTCATAAAATTTCAACAAGTGTTTAACCTTAGTCTAACTTCGACTTGTAAACTTGTTAAGTTTCAACAAGTGTTAGGCATAATCTCAGTTTAACTTCAACTTGTAAACTTTTTCCAAGTTTCAACAAGTGTTAAGCATGATCTCGGTTTAACTTGAACTTGTAAACTTTTCTCAAGTTCCAACAAGTGTTAACTTCAACTTGTAAACTTTTCTTAAACATCATCTCGGTTTAACTTCAACTTGTAAACTGTTCTCAAGTTTCAACAAGTGTTAAATATCATTTCGGTTTAACTTCAACTTGTAAACTTTTTAAGTTTCAACAAGTGTTAGAACCGCTTTCCAACTCTCTGCCCCCTAATGTGAACTTAAGTTCTACTTGGGTTCTCATTACGCATGTATTCTAGAAACATTGGCAAGTATCTTATCAGTCATAAACGTAGAAGAATTCTGGTAAAATTTTATTCATTACGTCGGCAAAAAACAAGGAAAATCTAATGATAGAAAAATTTTAGATTATAAGTATTCCAGGGTTTTGGCAACTCTTTGTCCTCATTATCTTCAAGACGATATGCCCTATTGCCCAATATCAAAGTGATTCTGTAGGGTCCTTCCCAATTTGGGCCAAGCTTGCCTTCCCTGGGATCCTTCTTGTTACCGGCGACTTTTCTCAAGACTAGGTCGCCGACTTGGAACTCCCTTGGGTTAACCCTTTTATTGTAAGCCCTGGCAAGCTGCTGCTGGTATGCTACTAGCTGAATTGCAGCTTTCTCCCTTCTTTCTTCTAAAAGATCCAGATCTCGGGCTAAGAGTACATCATTAGTCCCATTCTCTACTCCCTGGGTTTTGATCCCTAGGATGCCGACCTTTAGTGGAATGACAACTTCTGTGCCATAAGTCATGGTGAAGGGTGATTCCCCTGTTGATCTTCTCGGCGTAGTCCAATATGCCAGAGTACACTTGGCAGTTCATCCACCCATTTTCCTTTCGCTGCTTGCAGCCTCTTCTTTATTCCATCCATGATAACTTTGTTGGATGCTTCTGCTTGTCCATTGCTTTGAGGAAATCTTGGGGTTGAAAAATAATTCTTGATCTTGAATTTTGCATAGAAGCTTTTGATTAGCTTGCTATCAAATTGTGTTCCGTTGTTGGCAACTATTGCTCTTGGAATCCCAAATCTGGTAATGATATTTCTCCATATGAAGTTCTTCATGTCTACATCTCGGATCTTGGCCAGGGGCTCAACTTCTATCCATTTGGTGAAGTAATCTGTTGCTACTAGCAAGTACTTCCTTTGTCCAGTTGCTTGGGGTAGTTGCCCAATGAGATCCATGCCCCATTGGGCAAACGGCCAAGGACTGGATACTGGGTTCTGGTCTGCTGCTGGTTGGTGTATTAGGGGTGCAAACCTTTGGCACTTTTCACACTTTTTCACATAGGCTTTTGCATCTCTTTGCATGTAAGGCCACCAATACCCCTGCGTAATGGCCCTATGAGCAAGTGATCTGCCCCCATCGTGGCTTCCACAAACTCCTTCATGTATTTCATATAAAAAATGTTCAACTTGTGAAGGATGTACACACCTCAAAAGGGGTCCAGTGAAGGATCTTCTGTAGAGATGTCCTTCCGCTGTCAGACTGAATCTTATCGACTTCAATCTGATCTTGTGTGCCTCTTTATGGTCATCTGGCAGCTTCCCTTCCTTTAAGAATGCTATAATTGCATCCATCCAACTTGGTCCCATATCCACACACATTGCTTTGTGCTCTGCGATCGGTGGTTCAATGCTTGGGCTCGGCCGGTATTCGACCATTATCGCCCTTGCTTTTCTAGGTTGTATTGCACTAGCCAGATTGGCCAGTGCATCGGCGTGACTGTTATCATCTCGGCTAACCTGATGTAGTCGGCAATTCTGAAACAAAGCCACTAACCTATTGACTTCTTTTGCGTAGGTTGACATCCTTTCATCTCGAGCTGTAAACTCGCCCGTTGTCTGGTTGACTATGAACTGGGAGTCACAGAAGACTATCACTTTATCTGCTTCTGCTGCTACATCTAGCTTTAGTCCTGCAATCAATGCTTCATACTCTATTTCATTGTTTGAGGCCTTGAACCCCAATCGAATGGACTGTTCCAATATCTCTCTATCTGGAGATACCAGTACTATTCCTGCCCCCGCTCCTTGTCGGTTTGAGTTCCCATTGACAAACAGTCAAAAGGAGTCGCCGATGTAAATGCTGCAGGGTCTGAGTTTTTCCTTTTTCCTTTGTTCTGTTGCATTTGGCTGGGCTTCTCCCTGCTTGCTTGGACATCGTTCACCTCGGCTCAACGGAGCTCGATGTACGATGGATTCTGGTGTGAACTCGGCCACGAAGTCGGCCAAAACTTGGCCTTTGATTGTTGTTTTGGGTTTGTACTCCAAGTCATACTGCCCCAAGGCCACTGCCCACCTGGCTATTCTTCCTGTCAGGTCTCCTTGTTGCAGCAAGGACTTCAAGGGGTGTTCAGTTGGCACCACAATTTTATGGGCCTGGAAGTAATGGTTCAGTTTCTTTGAAGCCATTACTAACGCCGGTGCCAATTTCTCTAAGGGTAGATACCTTGTTTCTGCATCGGCCAGGGTTTTGTTTACATAGTAAATAGCCCTTTGCTCCCCTTTTTCTTCTCAGATTACCACTGCGCTTACTACGTTTTCTGAGACTGCTAAGTACAAAAACAACTCCTCTCCAGGTTCTGGATTTGAAAGAACTGGAGCTGTGGTCAAGTACTTCTTCAAGTCAGCCAGGGCGGCCTCGCATTCTTCTATCCAAAAGAAATCTGTGACTTTCTTCACTAAGTTGAAGAAAGGTTTGCACTTGTCTGAGCTTCTGCTTATGAACCCATTCAGTGCTGTGGCCCTTCCAGTCAACATTTGTACTGTTTTGCTGACGTTGGGCTCTTCAATTCCAGGATGGCCTTAATCTGGTTTGGGCTGGCCTCAATGCCCCTTCTAGTCACCAGGTATCCCAAAAACTTACCAGATCCCACTCCAAATGCACATTTCGCTGCATTGAGTCGGAGCCGATATGTTTTAAGGATGTCAAAGACTACTTTCAAGTCAGCCAGATGACCTTTAGGTTCCTTAGTCTTCACGACCATGTCATCGATGTAAACTTCCACCGTTCTGCCAATCAGGTGTTTGAACATCTTGGTTGCCAGTCTTTGGTAAGTTGCTCCTGCGTTTTTCAACCCAAAAGGTATCACTCTGTAACAGTACAGACCTTTTGGGGTGATAAACGCAGTCTTCTCCTCATCTGGGGGATGCATGGCTATCTGATGGTATCCCTTGTAGGAATCCAAGAAACTCATCCTTCCATGCCCCGAAGTGGCGTCTGCCAGGTGGTCAATCTTGGGTAGAGAAAAACTGTCTTTGGGACAGGCCTTGTTCAGGCTGGTAAAGTCCACACAGACCCTCCATTTACCATTCTTTTTCTTCACCACGACTGTGTTTGATAGCTATGTCGGGTAATTTACCTCTCGAATGGCCATGGCCTCTAGAAGTCTGTCTACTTCCACTTCCACTGCTTCGACATTCAGTTTATAGCAAGTGACCTCGGGGTCAATGTTAGGCATTTCGTAAGGCATCCAAGCAAACACCTCAATATTTGCTCTCAAAAAAGCTTCCAACTCTTTTTCCTCTTCTTTAGCTAAGCTCGAACCGAGAAGAAAGAAGCGTTCTTCATCCCTCTTTTGGATGAGGATTTTTTTCAGTGCTTCTTCACTCTTCTCGGCTGGCTCCTTGCCGACATCCTCTAAGATCTCCACGTCTTCGTCTTCGATCTCTGCCTTCTCTGGTTCTCTTATCCTGCAGGTGGATTTCATTGCTGCCATTGAGCAATTCTTTGCCTGCAGCTGATCTCCTTTGACCTTCTCAATCCCATGCTCTGTTGGGAACTACAATAGTTGATGCAATGTTGAGGGAACAACCCTCATCGCATGCAACCACGGCCTTCCCAAGATGATATTGTAAGGGGAGGGTGTGTCGATTACAGTAAACTCTGTCTTTATCCTCATGGTGCCAGCCTGCACTTCCAAGCTCGTCGTTCCCAGTGGCCATGTCGGCTATTGAACCCAACCATTGGGCTATTGTATTGCTCCATATCATCTGGGTGAAGGCCAAGCTCCTTGTAACATCTGACGTACATGATGTCACAAGAGCTGCCTTGGTCGATTAAGATGCGCTTCACTTGGCATTCCCCAACCTGGAGGGATACTACCAAGGCATCGTTATGTGGATGCTGCACCATCTCAAGGTCGGCTTCAGTAAAGGACACTACTGGTCCTTGGCACTCCTCTGTCCGAAATCTCTTCTTCCTGACTTGGTAGACATGCTGTAGGTTTTTACCTTCTGGGTCTCCCCCCGAATCTCGTTTTCGTTGACCTTCGAGTGACTTACATTAATTACCCGAGGTCCTCCTGTTTGAGGTTGCTGTGCTGGGGGAGGTGGAGCTACTGTCGCCTGAGGCAAGCTTGCCTGTTTTTCCCTTGTCCTGGCCTCATCAACAAGGTCTCTCAGATGGCCTTGCCTTACCAGGTCTTTTAAGTGTGTTTTCAAGGCTCTACAACCCTGAGTCATCATCTTCATTGTGGTAAGCACAATGTCTGCCAAGGGCATTTCCATAAACTCTTATGGTGCTCTTGTTGGCATT